CAGACCAATCAAACCAACAACTCTTTGGCCCAGTCCAGAGTGTTCTCTGAAGCTCTCCAGGTGATTCTAAAATGGGATAAAGATTGAAAACCACTGGTCTGGCTCCATGATATTCGAATTGTGCTTTCTAGAGGGGATGCTGCTCACAGGCACCACTTCCTGCTTCTCATAAGGCGGTACCATCGATGTCTGTATGTCTTCCCGCCATGGAGATACTGGGCAGGGATGGGCAGGAGACTTTGTAGGTATCAGAAGTTCACGTATCAAATCTATTTACCCACATGTGTCCATTATGACTGTTACATTAACTGTGAACCTGGCTCTGCTTTCTTGGTTTAACATTATTGGGCTTTCACCAGATTCAAAGGAGGGTGAACCTGGAATTAGCGGAAAATGTAAAAACTTTGATAGAGCAGGAGTGAAGAATGGTATTCCTTTTACCATTATTATTTGGGGAGAATTTTCTCCAGGACAGAGCTTTATCTTTACATACTGCTCTCCCACACAGCAGAAGCTAGCGGGTATCACCGCACTCAGTGCCTTCCCCTGTGGGATTTCATTCCATACAGGCCTAGCAAAGGCTAACAGATTTCTGTCCTTAGTGCCATGGACTTTAGTGCCACACTTTAGTTTCCACAATGGTTGGTTCTCTCACTGTTAGAAGCTAAAACATTTGGTAAATCTAACCAATGTAACCTTAAAAACCTATGCACGGTTCACGTCACCAGGAAATGATGGATATCAAGCAGTTCATTGATAAACTTTGTCAACCTTAAAAACAAAACAGCCAGTTATTTAACCACCAAAAAAAAAAGTATTTAGGAATCGCAGAGGAATTGCAATTTGGGACTGCAAATTATGGCAAACCATAGGCAAGTCCCAAAATGGAAGGAAAAAGAGTATCCTTGTATAGAGGAAAGAAGGAAGTTGGGAGCAATTGCTTTGAACAAAAGTTCATCGGAGAAGAGGGAGAGTTTGAGGTTGTAGGGCTTCTCATTGGCTAAGTTCATGTGGTTTCTCACTGGCTGGGTTGTTGCTGGGCAAGAAGAATCTTCCATCTTCCTGCCGAGGTATGCTAAGTAAGCTGCCAGGAGCACTATTGAGTGAAGTGAGAACTCTCCCTTTGTTGTCTCCAGACTCCATTTTCAACTCAGTTTCTTTATTGGTTTTCACAGCTCTAACTTTCAGATGATCGACCTCACTAATAGGTCTTGTGTAAAAGGTACACCTGCATCACTTTAGCAGAGTATAAACCTTTTCAGGTGCCCCACCTTGAAACTGCTAATGTTTGTAGTGTTAAAATGTTTTGTAAATACACACCAATGACATAGACTAAGTGTCTCCTCATGGGAAATATATCTTTTTGAGTTTCTATACAAGTACTGTATAACATGATCCAGAATAAACTCGTATTAAAATAAGTGAGACAGCTGGTTTCCTTTTCAAATAGACTTCAGCAAAAGAAAATATTGCAACCAAATTATGTCATTGGAAAATTAATAACATACTTAATGGAAATTTGTTCAGGTATAAGTGAGCAGTTAAGATATAAATGATATATACATGCCGTGACTTAGTGTGTGGATTTATTCCAGAATTAGCCACCATGCAGTGTCTGTATATGCATACAAATATGTAATGATTGTAATACGTAGTAAGAATGAGGTGGGGTTACATTATCCCTAATGGGAATAACGCTTTTAACTGTTAAAGAGTAATATTGCTTTCCTCAGGAAAAAAAGAAAAACAAACATCTCTATAGAGCTCCAGACATTCTAGGGCTTTTGCACAAACTTTTGCTTGAAGAATAGAATAAGGGTACATCTTTTTAAAACATTCTAATGAGATGATTCATACACCCACTTCACCCATAATACTCAAAATACCAATAACTTAGAGCTTGGTTCATCAGGGACTCCTTTGAGCCAGTTATAAAGCCTAGTGAAGGAAACCAGCATAGGTCACCCCAAAATAAATATTTTTGGGAAGAGGAATTGGGAAACAAATCTTACTGTTAGTTTCTTCCCATATATTTACCTTTCCAGTTTGCCAGCCTGGAAAGCCTAAAACTGCTTTCCTTTGTGCTGTCATTTCTCTACAAATGTATTGTTCTTTGCTGAAGATGTCACGTACACCACAGTTTTAAGCTGCTGCTTTGAGTTACTTTGTTTTCTGTTTCTTGGGTATGGTGTGCACTGCAAGCATTAATAAACTTCTTGTTAACGTCCTCTTGTTAAAGAGTGCCACCTGAAAACCTAAGATGGGTAGAGATGGAGTTTAGCCCCCCCGCCCCCCCCCCACACCCCAGCACTCATTCTAGTTGTATCCTCACTGCAGAATGCAGGCAAAAAGTCAACTCTTTCCTTGGTTGGCAATTACCCTGGGGCTGGCCATCCCAAGGATGCAGCTGCCTACACTAAATTCTCCACTTTTTGGGTCAGCTCCCCTGGTGGACTTCCTCCTCTCTAATACACTGAACACTGGAATTCTCAAATTAAAACCCCAAAAGGTCAAAGGTCCTCCCTTCATGCGGAAACACATCAAGAACTAAGCATCTTGAGGTTTTCAACTTAAAAATCACTTATTTTACATAGCAGTAACATGCTTTCTGTATGAAGAAATAAGGATCATTTACCTAATATCATATAGCTACATCTTTCTATCAGATTATCTTTTTTCTCATGAAAGTAAAACATCTCCAATGCTCCATCTTGAAACTTAGTGTTTGTAGTGTTGAAATGTTTTGCAAATATACACCAATGATGTAGACTAATCCTTCCTTGTGGGAGCTTTATGCTCTTTTAAGTTTACCATGAAAGTAAAACACTTGAAATGCTGTATGTGCTATATTCCCTGAATTTTTTGTACTTAATCTCAGTGAAATTAGATCAGAATACTACAATCCTATTTTAATGACTAGAATTCATTGTGCATCAAATTGGGCAAGAAAAACTTATTTTGACTGATAGTATTCTCACCTGTGTAACAGAAATTTACAGGTCCTAATCCTTTAGTTTGTGAATCCTACCCATTCTTAACATTACCAATTATGAGAAGAGTGACTGCACAACTGTAGTTTCGTAAAAGGAAAATTAAAACAAGTTTTTTTCTCTTTTCCGAAATTTTTGGGTTTGTTTTGTTTGTACATTAAAACCTAACCTTACAAACAAGTAAAAAGGACTGAGATTTGATGTTCTGGTTAGCATTTGCATGGAAAAAGAGCTTCTTCCCAGTTCTCTTAGAACTGCACATGAATATAAAAAGTGGATCCCCCAGTTAGGCCTCATACTGTTAGCATTCAAGATGACTGGACTTCCTTTCATAAATTCACATCTCCCCTATGTTTACTTCTCTTTACCTGCACTGCCAGGATCCTGTAATTCCTTTGTAGTTATGGTGTGGGGGAAGAGCCCACATATTTTTTGGTCTTCTCCCTATATTTATGTCAGTTTTCAGATCTGTACATCATACATCACAGAAACAGGAATAGACAGGTAACATAGCTAAACTTCTATACGAGGGGCATTATAATAAGGTTCTGGAGTACTGACATTTTTGTTTCTTCAGCATCGTATGTTTGCTTCCTAGGCCTGTAATTAAACTGTTTCTGTTTCTGATAAAGGACTAATTGTAACATGCCTCACTTAACTCCCCGGAGTGAGTTTTGTAAAGCATACCTTCTCAGGCATCCCAGGTAGGGTTAACTATTCATGGATTGTAGCATTCATGGTGAAAGTGTTACTTAAATGCAAGGAATGGTTTTAAAGAACTCTGATGCCAATAAAATGTTCTCCCCTGAAACAAATGATTCTAAGGAATTCAAAGAATAGGCCCAAGAAGCTTCTGGGCATAAGTGTGGCCCAAATATACAGTTTTAGCAATCTTTCTGATAAAGTTTCATAAAACATTAGATGTGTGTCTAGTTTATGGATATATAAAATGAACCCCTAATCAATCCCTAATACTATCTTTTGTACCACCATGAGGTAGAAATGAGCAGGGCAGAAACTAGTGATCCTACTTACCTGGAAAAGAAACTGGGGCACAGAAAGCTTTAGTGGTTTTTGCGTGTCACACACTCCTTTTGGCTTTGTTCTGACTCCTCCTCCATTCCTTGAAACTTCAAGTATAAATATCAATAATAACAGAATTCCAGGGCTGGAAGATCATTTATTGACTCTCTCCTTGGACCAAAGAAGAAACTGAAGCCCTTTAAGTTTGAATTACCCATTAATATTCAAAGAGGTTCATCAACATCCTGGTTTCTGAACTCTCACCAAAATTGTATGCGAGATAAATGTGACTGTTCAGCGGGCCCTACGTATCTGCAGCGTAACACACCCTGACTTTTACTTTAATTAAATTAAAATAAAATTCCCACTGATTATCTGGAGACCCTCAGTGTTCTGGCCCCGCTCTCTCCTTTCTCCCAGTTCTATTCTGGCCTCTGCTTTCTGGGTCAAGGTTGAGTCTGTCTGGCCCCTGGGCGTGGCCGGCCTCGGGACGGTGGATAGAGAGCTTCGAAGCCCCTCGTAGGAAGGGACAGAGAGATCGGAGTCTCAGTCAGTCGGGGTCTCCTGCAAACAGCCCCTGCGTCCACTTCGTGAGTGCTCCCATCAGCGGTCCCGCAGCCGCTGTGTCCGCCTGCACCTCTCCATTTCGCACCTTCCCAGCTTCGCAGGGGCTCCCGCTAAGGGCCCACCTCGGCCAGGGGCGACGGTACCCGCAAGGCCCCCGGGGCTGGCGGGGAAGCCTGGCCTTGCTGGCCGCGTGGGTCTCGGGGGTAAGAGCATTCCCTGAACAACGGAGGCACGCCCCACGCAGGGACGGGCGAGGACAGTTGTGATCAGAAGCCCTGTGCACGGAAGGGAGCGACTCCCGCGGCCGCCTCCCCCTCCCTCCCTCCCTCCCCGGGCTCCCGCGGCGCCGCCGGAGCCTCGCTCTTCCTCCTCCTCCTCACTCCCCGGCTCGGCTGATCTCCTGCCGTGACTCAGCGATTCTCGCAGGCTGCCCGGCTGGGGACATCGGCTTCTCGCGGGCTCCTCCCGCCGCGTCCACCCCCTCTCGCCACCCACGCCCGCCCCCGACCGCCGGCTTTTTCCCAGCGCGGCCGCCGCCGCCGCCGCCGCCGCCGTAGTCAGCGCGGGCGCCGCCACAGCATCCGCCGCCGGCCCCGCTCGGCGCACGCTCCGGCCCGACCCCGCAGCCCACCCGCGCAGCGGCCATGGAGCGCGCAGCCCCCCGCCGCCGCCACACCCACCAGCGCGGCTATGCCGTGACGCGGAACCCCCACCTCAACAAGGTGAGTCCGCCGGCCCACCTGGCGGCCCAGCGGCCGCTTTCGGTCCGACGCAGGCCCTCGGGAGGGTCCCGGACTCGGCCTCGCCCCTCTGCCGCCTCTCCCGGGACGCGCGGCCCTCGGTGCGAGCAGAATGGAGGGGCCGCCCAGTAGGCTCTGTGCCCCGGCAGTGTGATGGGCGCTCGGTGCTGGTCACCTCGGCATCCCGTTTCGGGAAAGAAGGTGTAACTTGTTTACAGCACTTTCTGGCTTCTCAAGAGCCAAGCCAAAGAAAGTAGCATCAGGCTAAGTGCGTGAGTTGACTGTTTCTCTGAAGAGAGCAGGTAGGCTGCCAGCTCAGCTTTGTCTGTGCCACCCACTTACTGCTTCCACTCAGTGTGGCAATTATTGGAGGCTGCTCTGGAGAGAAGTGGCCCTACTGGTCAGTCCTGAGCAGGAAAGCCTCAGGTCACGTTAACAAGCTCGAAGTCAAGGCCTCTTGGTTTCTGGAGCGACACGATTAAGAGGCTGGGAATGCCTGGTGGGTGACTTCTGCCTTGGACATTTTGCATGGCCTGGTACAAAATCCTTGTCCTAGACATGGGACTGTGGGTAAAGCCATTCCTATTTTTTGAATCTGGCCTTCTGGAAATTAAAACTTTTTTTTTTTAAGACCTCTTATTAAAACAAGAATTCAGTGTAGTTAGACAACCTTTTTCAGATCCTGGTAACGTTTCATTTTTCTTCACTGTAAACACCTAATATTTCTCTCAAATGAAATATACCTAATTTATAATTTTGCTTATGTAGATACTAAGCAGTCACACTCTATAACCAGGTTTGTTTCTAGATAGTTCTTTTTGTGTAACTGTGCTTTTGACCTATCCTTCTTATTTAAGATATGGGAAATGCCATCAGTAAGCACAGAGATCTGTTTAGTCGTTTTGGTCGTCTCTTTAGTAGATACTCTTCATTAGGAACTGGACCTCAGCTCTTGCCTTCTGGTCGTGTTGCTGGTGATTTGTTGATCATTATTAATGGCTTGAAGACTTGTGATTTCTTTCATAAATTGTAGCTAGTGTGAGTTCTTTTTGATTTCGTGGTGACGGGTAACTTTTACAAATACATGGTTATGTAGTATTTGTGGTCATAAGACATTATGAAATTTTAAATAGTTCCTACTTATTTCTTTTCAAAATGAATTTAATGATAGTTTGATTTTTTCTTTTTATTATTCTGCAGGTTGGGGGCTATTTTCAGTAGAACAAAGGTAAAATCTGGTGTGACAGAACAATTTGTGACTTTCATGTGTATTCATGTGTATCTGCTTCTTGTAATTTATGACCAAATAATGGGTTGTCACTTAAGAAGGACTGCATGAGTGGTATAACCTGTTTGGATTTCCCAAAGTCCTGGGCAAGTATGAGTGTTTCGAGTGCGTAGACGGAATAGGTAGTCACTGAGCAAGAGTCATTATGCCTTTACTGTATGCATCAAGAATACATGTTCTTAAAATCTTTTTTGGCTCCCGTGCACCAGTAAGGATTAACTCCTATTTAACAATAATATCACGGAGATCTTCCACCAAGTTGAAAGGTGCAGCATAATATGTTAAGAGCACATTTTTGAGTTTATAATTGAATTTTATTGTCTGCATAGAGTCAAATTGGATTTGAAATCTAGTTCACCAGCTCCGGGGTGATTAATGGAATAAGCTTTACTTTTCTTATTCAGTTCTAAGATAGTTGTGTGGTACCTTATAGAAGTCACAGAATTACTTTACATGAACCTTTGAAACTATGGCTGTGGGACATTCTTGATCTGCCCTGCACTGAAGATCTCTTGGCTTTAAAGTTTTCTGATAACCCAGGAATTTTTATTGATTTTTATGATAGCTTTCGCTAGTAGATCATGCCCTCTAAAACCCCAGCCTGTCATCTGGCTACGTGAAGCCTTCTTCGGCCAAATTAACACAGACCTTCATCACCTCACCTTTTTGGTAACTGCAACAATTTTGCTGGTTTTATTTTCAGTATTATAGTCTGTCCTACATGTAGATAGGAGAAACATACCTTCATCAATTAGTGTTTTCTTCATGTTACTCTTCTGTCATCCAAGTATTTATAATAGCTCTTATTATGCTGAATGTAAAATCAGTCTTGTCAGGTTTACTGTCTTATCCAAATTGATCTCATTAGTCCCCCAATTTAGTCTTCCACTTGAAATATATTTGCAGAATCTCTTACTTAATGCTTTCCTTTTTGTCTGTGTGTAATTTCCTATAGTTAAAATGGCATTACTTGATTTAATAATGATCTCTCTAGGGAAGACTTTCCTAATTATTTCAGTCTTATTATTATTACTTGACACCTCTGTTTATATGTATTCAGTAGTATCATGTCATTTTGTATTTACTGCATTTTATTTTTTTCTTATTTTGATTGTTATAGGTCAGGAATCATACTTAGTACAGAATTTTGCTCATTGGGCTTTAAATAAATGTTTATTTAATGAATGAATGAACCATGTTTTTATTTCTTTTGTCTTTTAAACAGTACTCAGCTTTTAAAGCAAGAAGCGTTTAGAGTGGTAGATTGAACATTATTTTAAGACATCCTGTTTAATGTAATTTCTTGGAAGTAAATCACATTGAAATCTAAAGCTCAGTTGACTGACTATACATTTATACAACGTATAATGGATACAGGAGAATAGTTGGAATTCAGTTTAAACCTGACCATCCGTGAAATTTTAATTACTTGCTAGGTAACATTAAGGAGGTGATTAGTCTTGGTAAAATCAAGGTTAACAGTAGATGTGATCCAAATTAAAAAAATAAAAAATTGTAAAAACCGAAGGGAAATAAGGTTTTCTTCATTGGTAATATGATTCTTGCTATTTGCTTATACTCAAATTACATAATTCCAGGTAGGATTTCATCATAGTATTTGGGAAAGTAGCTTACACTTGCGAGATTCAGTATCTTTCTGTACATAGCCCAAACTATCTTTGAGGTGTTTTTCTTTGTGGTATATGTACTTATCTAATTTAATGTTTAATGTTTATGATTTTCAAGGATACCTTCTAATTTAGATGAGTTGTATTTCAATTTTTTTCTCAGGAATTTTCATGTGACTAATAATGTTTCGTAAATCAGTCTTCAGAATTAAAATTCTACACCCAATAAAAATCTCTTATTTTTTATTTCTAAATATTAGTTTGCTTTGTTTCTCTAACAGAGGTAGAAAATACTAATCGATAGTTCGATCATACTTGTGATTACGTTGTTTGCATGTCTTTAAGATTAAATAATAACATGACCTACAAGTAAGTCTCCAAAAGATACCACTCTTTAATATTTTAGGCATTTTAATCCAGTTTAAGTTAGTGACTTACTAAAGTCCGTTTTGGCTAACATTATTAACTTTTAAATCTAAAAAAAATGAGCTTCCGGGGCGCCTGGGTGGCTCAGTCGTTAAGCGTCTGCCTTCAGCTCAGGTCATGATCTCAGGGTCCTGGAATCGAGCCCCACATCGGGCTCCCTGCTCCGCAGGAGGCCTGCTTCTCCCTCTCCCACTCCCCCTGCTTGTGTTCCCTCTCTCGCTGTGTCTCTCTCTGTCAAATAAATAAATAAAATCTTTAAAAAAAAAAATGAGCTTCCAGTCAAGTGCATTTATAGATGATTGTGTCTTGGTATGTCAAGACCTAGTTGGAGGTGTTGTAGGGAAAGGAGAGTCATGACTATGAAGGAAAGATATCTTAAACCTCCTCTTTTTCTTCAGTGTAAGCTATACCAGAGTTAATCATCCAGGAATTTTTACCTACCACAATCTCTGGAGTTGCCTCAGTAATATGAGAAACTGATGTGTTATTTAATGGAATCCTACTGATAGGAATGCCATTGTGATGCGGATGTACATATACGCCTCCATACCTGTTACCTTGCAGCGCTTCAAACCACAGCGGTAGCATAGGGTAGCACAAAATCAAAATAATGTGCTCGAATGAGTAGAAAGATGAGTTTGATCTGAGAACTTTTGAGACTGGTGATGTGGAGTATAGAAATCCTGAAGAAAGTCTGAGATTTTTCATTTTTGTGTTCTACTTTCCTTCTAACTTTTGGGCAAGTACGAGAAATACAATGTAATGGAATGAACATTCTAAGACATTTTATCTAGAGGAAAGCCTAAGTCCCAAGTTGTGAGATTTTGAGTTGTGAGATTTTGAGTGAACTTTTCTTAACTAGCTTCAGTTACTGTCCTTACAAAGTAAAGTGATAATTTCATTTATTATTTAGAAAATATTTGTTTGTTCAGAACCCACTATATGCTAGGTAATATTCTGGTTCAAAGAATATAGCAATGAAGAAGATTCTTGTTGTGAGTACACTTACACTTCTGTTGTAATATGATTTCTACCTTGCTTCTTCACTCAGATATTGAAAAGATTATTTGAGATAGTGAATATTAATTGTTGCTAAATTATATATTCTAAAAACAGGAGGTCTTTTAGTACTATCATTATTAATATAGTACTTTTGTATAGAAAGTCTGAGCTCATAGCTGGAGCAATTATAAAGTACATTTTTTTTTAGTGTACTAACCCCCTTCTCTTGAGTTTTGGATGACATGATTGTGCTCCCTCTTTATTTTATAGTAAAAAAACAAAAATATATCTTCTCTCTGGGAGAGAAAGATTTATATTTTACCCTCAGATTCATATAATTGAGCTTGACTGATGTCACATGACCTTTGCAATCTTTCATACACTTTCACAGAATGCCAGGTATAAAGAATGTATTTGTGAAGAAATAGAAAAAGGAAAGCTTTTTGCTTCTCAGTACTCTGTCAAAGTATGTAAAGGCTTGGAAGTATGAAAGAACTTGGCTTGTTAGAGAAAGGTAGAGGTATGCTTTGCTAGTTAAAATTATTGGGAAAAGAGGGAGTGAATTGCAGAGACAGGAAATTTAAAAGTTCCAGTGGTGTGAAACCAGCCTTTACTTGATTCTGTTTGACTTTGGAAAA